TCTGGTCATAAAATACAGTACAAGGTCACTTTTATGTAAGTTTGCCAAAAGGGACATAAACCAGGACAATTTCAAACTGTGACACAGGATAGAAACATATTAAACGAATCTTTGTTCCTCCTCTATTGTGCTGTCATGGTGCTCGGCTTTATAGACATTCCAAGCACCAGCACACAGCTCTTCGCTTCCACCTGGTCAGTCCAATTCATTAAGAAAGGAAGTTACCTCAAATTTTCTACTTTTTGCTTTTATTATCAAGCACTTTGTTTGAAGTTATAGGAGTTAACCTCTTAATCCTACAGACCGTGTGCTATGTTCTGGACATGTGGGGATGTCTGGATGGTTGGATAATTGCTCAGGATGTTGCCGTTGCTTATGTTACATTTTATGCCATGACTTCAAATCAAAGATAAGCATTAAAGTGAAGTACAACATAAATTTATTCCCAGAAAAATCTTGGGTTTATGAATTAATCTGTCATAAAATTTATATAACAATCATACGGAGATACTTTCTCCCACTTTATGTTGTTGAATTTTTTTCCTCATAACATTTTAATTCAAAGTAAGATGTTAAGATAATATGAAACAAATATATTCCTAACTCCCATTTAAACAATGGCCAGAGGTTATATCTCCAGAGTTCATTACAAAATCAGAAAACATCTCTGACATTAATCCGGATAACCTGGAGGTCTTTTCTGGAGTGGAGGAGGGAGACAAATCACACAGCCAATCTGAGGTATGCTAAGTACAGCAGTGATCTCCACCCTAACATGTTCCCTGAGTCCTAAGATCCACAGACCCCAGAAAAAGCAACCCTACTGTAAAACGAAACAAAAACCACCAAATGGAACCTTTTTCAGAGTTGAAGAATTAATTTATAAGCAAAAGTCACGTTCAAATACCTACAAACATACGTAAAGCTCAATGCAGTACACACAGGTGACAGCAAAATCATCTAAATTTGGTCATTTCCATTACCAAACATTTCACTGCAAGCAGTAAGTCTGAATTCCGTGAGAAAAGTTAGCTGCTGTTCTATCCTCTTACACTTAAGAATTATAAAGTATGGGAATAGCAAGGAGATGGCCCTAATAAAATAAAAACACACGCCACTGCCACCGTAAGGAGAGAGAAGAAAAGCTATTTAAGGCCCTTAAAAGGACATAGTCAACCCCCCAGGCCTAATATGTCCTGTTTGAATTAACATAGTGGTTTAATTAAAAACTAAGTAGAGAATTCTGCTTAATTTGATTTTCAATTCAAGCTCTGCATCCGCCAGTGGCCAATTTCCGCATCTCGGCACAATATGCAAGAAGCTGTTTTAACATCGATTGCCCAGGGGAATCCATGGGAGTATAGTGGGGCCATATGCCACTTAGGGATACACCAGACTTAGACACAGTAAAACAGCACCAGGAGGGTGGCCACAAAAAAAAAAAAAAAAGGAAATTTAACTTAACCATTTTACAAGTTTGTCATTACTCAAATTATTGTGCTGAATCTACCAATTGGAAATGTTTCTAACCTCTCTGCAGTATCACTTCAGAAACTAGATGTGTCAAATGTAACCAATGAGCAAACACCTTTAAAGGAATATATATAAATATATGTACTTGTTAGCCAAATACGTTCAACATTTAATGACTGATCAATCATAACGATTTCAATAAAACAGCAAAGTTAGTAATTCTAAAAGTCCTGTGTAAAGAACCGTGTATCTTAAATAGTGTGATTTAAAACTTACACAGGTAATTACCAAATGATTCTAGACTACAGAAAGACACAACATTAAAAGGTTCCATGTATACTTAACACATTTAGACATAACTACACAATATTAACAACTTTTCCAACTTATATGTGACTGACTTTAAAACTGAAAAATAGGAGTATTTTTTAATAGCCTGCCTTTATTAGCTTAATTTTAAAACTTTCTAAACCTTTCTACTAGGGTCTGGAACACACCTTATTTTCAAAAAAGTTTGCTTCAAACTACGCTGGGTTTAATGCTCAAGCTGATTTATTCTGCTTCAGTACATGCCATTTCAAAATGAGAAACACATTTTGGAATTTTAAAACTGCCTGAGATAATAACTTGTGAATAATTAAACGATGACTATACTATATTCAGTTGCTTGCTTTGAGTCCCCTATTTTATAGACTACTTAGTGAGAAGAAGTATTCTAGAATACTTACTAGTGATTAGTGATTACTGAAATTTTATAGAATACTTACTAGTCAAATGCATTTGAAGACTATCTGGAGGATAAAGGTAATTTAATAATAGCTAACATTTACTAAGTGAAGTCCTGCATTACATGAATAATCACATCTCATTTAATCACCAAAATAATACAATAAAGTAAAAATTATTGTGACACCCATTTTACAGAAAGAAACCCTGAGGTTTAGATGAAGTTACTTACTTGCCCAGGCTGATGCCAAATGTTTTCTCAGCTGTAGCTTCACTATTTTCCACTGACCTCTTTTCCTCAGCATATCAGTGTAGTCAGACTCTCCAACTTTAAAATTCTTCTTCCTCCTCTACCTCCAAGCTGTAATCCCATCTCCCTCCTTCCCTTAATGGCATTAACAACCGAATTCTTTAATTTGGTTTTCTACAGCACCTATCACAACTTCACAAGTCAAACAAATGGCAGTCTTCCTGGGCTCCACCTTATTCCTCTCTTTTTAAGTCTTCTGCTGTGTTTGGGAATTAATTGGATTCATAGTTGCCTGTATCCTACAATTATTCAACATCTCAGTCCCATTTGAGGTCACCAAACACCTAGTGACCCTTGAGGGATTTTCAGGGGACCAAAACAGTCAAAGATGTGCTAAGAAAAGTATATGATTTTAATCATGTATAAAATGACTAAAAAATTTTTTTAAATAGAGGAAATAAGTGCTGTGCAATCGCAGGTGTAAAATATCTTGATTTACCTTCTAGGATCCCTCCTCAGCTGATTCTCCCTTTCACCTGAAGTCTATAAGAGGGAACAGGAGAAAAGTGACATGTCACTGGGACTTTCTGTCAGGTTTTTTTTTTTTAAATTCTGGAGATTGTTGCTAATTCTTCAAACAGATTTAGCTAAGTCCCTTTCCTAGTTGGTCAATTCACACGAATGAAAGAAAGTAACTTGGGAGGCAAAGTGTTTGTCCATATTACACCCTGTTATTTTAAATAATAATCTATTCCACTAGATTTTTATGGAAAGTATAAATTAGGTAGATACTGCTTATAATGACAAATATGAAAGTATATTTCCCACCAAGCTTTATCAGTTGTTTTCTGCATGTGGCACTATTACACAAGAGGTGGTGTCAGGAAGAGGGAAGAACTTTGCATACTTGAAGCGAACGTCACCAGGCAATGCCATAGAATCCGGGCAGAGCTGACTCGGCACTGGGGTCTACAGAACAGGGCTGTGCACTGTGTGGAGTGTGCAATCCTTTGTACTCCTTTCCTTTGTGACCTGCACAAAGTCTAAAATGCGTATTTATCTCTAAATATACTCAAACAGTAGATGAAAACATTATTTTCAAACATCCTATCCCAGCTTCTCTGTTGCCTACAATGTAAAATTCAAATTACCAGCCAGAGGACTCTAGGCCTCCAGAATTTGACCCTGACCAGCCACTTGTGCACCCTCATCTCTCCCCATTCTCCAGTAGCTAAGTATGGCCATTCCCGCAATTCTATCAGAGCTCCGGGCCTCTGCTCAGGCCTGGAATGCCACAATCTAGCAAACCCCTGCTCATCCTTCAAGTCCCAGCCCAAGTCCAGGCTCACTTCCCCTGCGAAGCCAGCTCAATTCCCCAAGCACATCAAGATATCCATTCCTTTTAGGGTTTCCCACAGGACTTCATTATATAAAAGGGCTTCAATCTGCATCTTATTTCTTTACCTCTATCACTTCTCCCACTGTCTGACCCTTGAAGACAGGAGCTCCATCTTTCCATCTGTGTCCCCAGCAAGCTCCTATAAGTAGCATAATAACTGCTACTTAAGGAATTGCTTAGTAAAACTCTGAATTCTCAACAAAATGCATTCTCTATTGAATGAATGAATGAATATCCATCAAAAGTTATGGTTCTAAAATTCCACAGAAATTGCCTTCTCAAAAGTCTTCAATGACCTCCTTTCTTCTTGCTGTTCATTCTTGGTTTTCATTTACTTCTGAGACAGGGTCATGCTCTGTCATCCAGGCTGGAGTGCAGTGACGCCATCACAGCTCACACCACAACTTCAACCTGCAGACTCAAGCAATCCTCCCACCTCAGCCCCGAGAGCAGCTAGAATGACAAGTGCCCATCACCATGCCCAGTTAACTTTTTTATTTCTAGTACAGGCAGGGTCTCACTATGTTGCCCAGACTGGTCTCGAAGTACTAGCCTCAAGCAAGCCTCCTGCCTCAGCCTCCCAAAGTGGTGGGATTACAGGTATGAGCCACTGCACCGTCCACTGACTAAATTTTAATTGCCAGTCTCAAGATTTTTAAAATTCCAACATATAAAAGCCAGTTTTCTTAAGGTCAGGTTTGACCACCAGAGTCATTCATTCTGACCCTGGTACATTTACTAAATGTGAAATCAGCTGTCAGTTTTCAGCTGCAGACTATTAACACATGGAATAACAGGTAGACAACAGAAAGGGGAGCCCATGGAAATGACACTTTAACTGTCACTTCAAACTAAGTAAGATACCCTAAGAAAAGAAAAAAAGCTATTATATCAAGTTTATCCATTACACTAAATGTACACATATTGTAAAAGCACTCACAGGTCTACAAGATGTCTCTCTGTCATGGGCACGCAAAATAATTCAATATGTAGACTTATTCAAGTTACTGTGAACAATGTTAATATTACTTATTATTCATTTAATTTTTTTATATTCCATTTAAATAATTTAAGTCTGCTTTTTCTAGTTCAATGTGAATGATACTGAATTCCTCACTTAACAAATCTGATTCCAATACTAGATTCACTTACTTTTTTCAGGCCAGCAAAGCCTTCTGATTCCAGAAAGAAAAAGGCAAAGGGCATCAATACAAATAAACAAAGGTTGGAAAAAAGGGAAGCAAGATTCCACAAACCTATAAAAGGGATAAGAAGAAAAGCAGGTTAGATATTGAAACTGTAATCTTAATCAAGATCCATACTTTTAAGAAGTAAAAATAAACATAAGTAACATATTAGATAAACTCAGAAATCATAAAAGAATTATAGTACATATTTATTTAATTTTTTTTAACCTTGTAACTTATACCTATTGGGAAAAGTCAGTATAGAAACTAATGTTTTTTCCCGAGCCCTAAAATAAATTCACTAAACATATGACGTCTGCAGGGATCCAAAGAAACAGCTCTTTAGACATATAGGCACCGGAATATTTAAATTAGAGTCACCAGCGTTTATTGAGCCCTTAATAAATGCCAGATACTCTACTGAGCATTTTACATGCATAATCCCATTTAATTTAAGCCTCGTAAAAACTCTAAAAATAATAATTAGCATTTATTGAGCCCTTATGTGCCAAGCACTATTCTAAGTGATTTACAGATATTATCCAAACTCATTTACTCGCCCAGCAATCCCACGAGGCAGGTAACATTACTGCCCCAATATGACAGAAGCATGAGCTGGCCAGGCAACTTGCTAAAGCTGTATAGCCTGCAAGTGGCAGAGCTGGCTCTTAGTTCTTGGGATTTAAAAAAATCACTACATCACAGAAACTTTGGTAAACAATTCCAAGTGGGAAAGAAATAGTGACAGAGCTGGAAATCTCAAAGTGACCTTTTCTTCCTTTGGCACAAAATGGCAACTAAAATAACAAGAACAGATTTAGTAAAAACAGAGCCCTGTTAGGTATGTCATTGGGAGGGTATTTGGCCCAACATATCATATCACATTTTTTACAGGTAAAAAACTTAAACTTGGCCGGGCGCGGTGGCTCAAGCCTGTAATCCCAGCACTTTGGGAGGCTGAGGCGGGTGGAACACGAGGTCAACAGATCGAGACCATCCTGGTCAACATGGTGAAACCCTGTCTCTACTAAAAATTACAAAAAATTAGCTGGGCACGGTGGCGCGTGCCTGTAATCCCAGCTACTCAGGAGGCTGAGGCAGGAGAATTGCCCGAACCCAGGGGGCAGAGGTTGCAGTGAGCCGAGATTGCGCCATTGCACTCCAGCCTGGGTAACAAGAGCGAAACTCCGTCTCAAAAAAAAAAAAAAAAACTTAAACTTAAATTGAGTTTCAAAATGATGATGAGGATAGTCATTACAAAAGTTTGTAAAATTAAGAGTCAAAGATAAAAATTATGCCAAGGATGAAATCAATGAACTGTATGCAATTATAATTTGCTGTTTTTGAAAGTAGGCAACTGATGCTTTGTCGACAGCTTTATTTCCAAACAGTGCTAAAAGCAGTGGAGGCCCAGTGCTGAACACACACAACACCTCTGCTCTGACTGCTGCTCCTGCTACAGACATGCACGCAGAGACTAACTCTGAGCTGGCAGTGAGTACAGGGAGCAGAGTGTCCCCAGCAACTGCAGTTATGAATAAACATAAATGTTTGTACCTGTCCTAATGCCCTTCAGAATAGCATGGAGTGTAAACAAACAATTAATTTAGCACGTAATATGGGTCAGCTGGGGAGATTCACTTCCTTTAGTAGACAAGGTGATATAATAAAACCAACTCACAACTTTCTATTCAAAAATCTATACAGATATAACAAATTTACAACATACATTCATCTTTGTAGAAAGTTAAAAATTTCAGAAAATAATACCTTAACATCTTTCAGTAGAAAAACTGCAATTTGAACTATTTAAAATTTTTTTAATTTTAAAAAATTTAAACACTTTTATACTTTACAGCCTTAAAAAAAGCCAAATATTCTGTTTTCTTTATTCAAAAAGAATATAATTAGAGTCAATTATTTTATTGTGCTAATAACCAGAAGGGCACATGGAATGATGGCCGCATGCATACAACTGAGTCCCAGGCAGCCCTGGGTTCACATCCTGTCTGTACTTCCACGTGACAACTTTCAACTATAAAATGCGGCTAATGATGGCTCTATAGACGTTGTCAAGTATTAAATAATGCACCTCCAACAGCTGGCACAATGCCCGTCATGAAGGAAGCACCTAATGAATGTTTGCTTTGACTAGCAGTCACAGCACCAGAGGCTACTGGCAACAGAGCTGTCAGCTCCCACGCTAACTACCACCCTTCCTGAGACTCCAGGCTCACGTGCTACTTTTCCCCTTCATCTTCCTTTCTACCAGGTATATCAGCTCCTGGTTTCTGTTCCTAGAAATGAGTGTGTGTCCAGCCACAATCTCCTCCCTCCCCCAACCGGCTATGGGTAAAGATATTGTATTCGCAACTTTTAAAAATTATATCTAAAGAGTAAATGGATCAAAGATGTACCTTCCAGGTCCAATTCATCACCTAAAGTGCATGGTCTTTGGCTTCTCTTTTGCCCGCCCAAGAGCATTTTCTCTTCTTTACAGTTTCCAAGTTACTTGCAGACATGTGAGGTATAACAATAACTAGTGATATGTACATTACATAATTACTGTTATTTAGTAGGCTAGAGAACCATGATTGTTACTCCGCTGCTTAGTTCAGGCATGGTGAAAGAAAGAAATGTCAGTTTCACCATTTGTGTTATAAAAGATAAAGGTCAGTGTGTCAAGAATTATACTCATTTTACACAAGACAGTTTTAATCCAACTATGTATTTCACAGTCCTTTTTAAAAAAACATTTTTAAAAGTTACCTGCTGCAGGTATACCTATAGTAGATAACTGTGTAGTTAGTTACCTGGGGTCTAGTTAAAGAGGACTGCATGCTGCTTTACTGCGCTTTGCAGATACTGCGTGAAGGTTTGTGGCAACCCTGTGGTGAAGTCTATGGGTGCCATTTTCCCATTATCACGTGCTCACTTCATTTCTCCAAGTCATATTTTGGTAATTTTCACAATACTTCAAACTTTTTCACTATTATTACATCTGTTATGATCTGTGATCAGTGATCTTTGATTATTAATTACTATTTTCATGTTTTGGGACACATCAAATTGTGCCCATAACAGATGCCGAACGTAATCAGTAAATGTGTGTTGACTACTCCGACGAGCCATTCCCCCATCTCTCCTCCACTCTTAGGGCCTCCCCATTCCCTGAGACACAACAATATTGCAACTAGATCATGTAATAACCCTACAATGTCCCTTAAGTGTTCAAATGAAAGGAAGAGCCACCCATATCTCTCTTTCAATCAAAAGCTAGAAGCTTAGTGAGGAGGCATGTCAAAAACAAGATAGGCTGAAAGCCAGGCCTCTCGTGCCAGTTAGCCAAGCTGTGAATGCAAAGGAAAAGTTCTTAAAGGAAATTCAAGTGCTACTCCAGTGAACACACAAATGATAAGAAAGCAGAACAGCCTTATTGCTGATACGCAGAAAGGTTTCGGGCTCTGGACAGATCAAACCAGCCACAACATTCCCTAGAGCCACAGCCTGAGCAAGGATGTAACTCTTCAAATCTATGAAGGCTGAGGGAAGTGAGGAAGCTCCAAATCAAGTCTGAAGCTACCAGAGGTTGGTTCATGAGGCTGAGAGGAAGAAGCCGTCTCCATAACGTAACAGTGCCAGGTGAAGCAGCAAGTGTGGTTGGAGAAGCTGCAGCACGCTCTCCAGAAGATCTGCTGAGACCATCAATGACAGTGGCTGCACTAAACAACAGATTTTCAAAGTAAACAAAAAACAGCCTTACACTGGAAGAAGATATCATCTAGGACTTGCTAGCCAGAGAGAAGTCAACGTCTGACTTCAAACCTTCAGTCAACAGGCTGACTCACAGTGTGGCAATTTCTCAAGGACCCAGCAATCCCATTACTGGGTATATATCCAAAGAATTAGAAATTGTTCTATTATAAGGACACATGCACAGGTATGTTCACTGCAGCACTGTTTACAATAGCAAAGACTTGGAACCAACCCAAATGCCCATCGATGATAGACTGGACAGGGAAAATGTGGCACATATACACCATGGAATACTATGCAGCCATCAAAAACGGTAAGTTTGTGTCCTTTGTAGGGACATGGATGAACCTGAAAACCATCATTCTCAGCAAACTGACACAAGAACAGAAAATCAAACACCACGTTATCACTCACAGTCGGGTGTTGAACAATGAGAACACATGGACACAGGGAGGGAAGCATCACACACTGGGGTCTGTGGGGAGGGGTACTACGAGAGGGACAGTGGAGGGTAGGGAGTTGCGGAGGGATAATATGGGGAGAAATGCCAGATACAGGTGATGGGGATAGAGGCAGCAAACCAGCTTGCCATGTATGTACCTATGGAACAATCTTGCATGTTCTTCACATGTACCCAAGAACCTAAAATGCAATTAAATATATATATATATATACACACACTCTAAAATGGAATTTAAAAGATATATATATGTATATATCTATATATACATATATATATATGTATATATCTATATATACATATATATATAGATATATACATATAGATATATATATATAGAATATGTATATATATATAGAATATTTGTGATTCATGGGAGGTCAAAATATCAACCTCCCCAGGAGTTTGGAAGCAGGGATGGGTTTGAGAGCAGTGGAGGATGCCTCTGCACATGTGCTAAAAACAGCAAGAGGACTGGAATCAGACATGGATCCTGAAGAGGTGACTGAATTACTGCCATCTAATGATAAAACTTGAATGCATGAGGAGCTGCTTCTTAGGGATGAGAAAAGCAAGTGGTTTCTTGAGGTGGAATCTACCCTGCTGGAGATGCTGTGAACACTGCGGAAATGACAGTAAAGGATTTAGAATACCATAAACTTAGCTGACACCAGTTTCGAAAGAACTTCTGTGAGTAAAATGCCGTCAAACAGCATCACGTATTACAGCGAAGTCTTTTGTGACAGGAAAAGTCAATCAATATGGCAAAGTACATTGTTGTCTTATTTTAAGAAATTGCCAGTCACCCCAATCTTTGGCAAAATCAATGCAAGACCTTCACCAGCAAAAGGAT